TTTTAATATAAAGATTTAAATTTTTAATCATTAGATCTTTTTCCTGGTACATTTAATAAATGAATAATTGCCCAAAACTTAATGTTAGTGAGCTGCCTAATTTTTATTTGTTTTAATCTAGAATTCGAGATTCACATGGAATTTGCTGATGGAATTTACCGATTTACTAAACAGTCTCTTCGTTTCACACGTCTTTGACCGAGTATGCAACCTACAAACTAGTTGATTTTTTAATTTCAACGTCCAAATTGAATTGTGAAAGAGGACTCGCGCGAGATATCCTAGATTTAATTAATTCCTACAACATATATAGGATTAGGATGTAACAAATTTAATGATAATTATAAAATAATTAAGTATGAAATATTATGCTAACTACTCAAGTACTAGAAGGTCGTCATCGAGGACTTTGTACTTAAAAGGTCTTCCGTTAGAGGCCGAGTTACACCAGTTCCGCCTCCAAATATCCATCTAAAAGCTACAGTAATGGAAACGCTTGAGGCATTTGCCTTTTACTGCTCGGATTTTTTTTTGGCAAAAACCTATTTTGAGTCCCTCATCTTATCAAATTTAAAGGTTTTAGCGTCTTATCTTATATTATGACACTTTAAACATCTCATTTTACTAAATTTGTAAGTTTTAACTCATCACCTATTAAAATTGAAGAAAATAACAATCACTTTATATTTACTGTTAATTCTGTTAGTTGAAAGTAAATTTTTATCAACTAATAACTAATAGTCAGTTAACAAAATTAACAAAATATTATAAAATGAATTATGTTAACTCGATTAGCTGAAAGTTAACTAAAAAAAAGCTTTTGTTAACTAACAGTCAACTAGTAGAATCAACAAAATGTTACAAAATAAGGATTATTTTCTTTAATTTTAATATGTGAAAGGTTAAAAGTGTTTTAATATAAGATGAGAAGTTAAAACTTTCAAACTTGATAAAGTGAGGGGTTAAAAGTAGATTTTTGTTGAATTTTTGTTGATCTATAAATATAATAATAAAAATAATAAAAAGAGTGAGAATATAATGTTTTTTGTACGTATTTATAGGTAGGTATATGAGGGTCAATTTTCACACATCTTGGGATTATATCAACTTAATATATTTAAATAAATTAATTTTTTTTTAATTCTAAACCTAACTTATAAAATGATACTTACTTGTTAATAGGTTTAAGTTAGTAAGACTATAATTATAATTTAATTAATAATAAAAGTTTGGTTGAATTAATACTTACTAATTTAGAAATCTTAATTAATTTAGAGGCGCTAATGACCTAAATAACTCAGTGGTCATCTCCTTCAACTGGCAATAAAAAATTCTACGTTCGAGTCATATGAAATACGAGTAGGGTGAGATAAATAATAAAATATGATTGTCTCCTATCATGCAACCAAGATAAAAAATAATAATAATAATTTGGGGGCAAGGTTAGAAATATATTCAAATATTTATGTTGCCAAACAATTAATCATGTGATATACCAAAAAAATATAGTCCAAGTCTAGCTAGATTTTTTTTTTTAAAAAAAATTTCTTATTTGGTTTCAATTAGGAATCCTTGTAGCATTTGGAACTGATTTTTAGAAATGCTGTCTTATTATCCCAACAATTTTGAATCACGTGTGATTCTTATTCTTCTTGCATTCAGTAACCTCTACGTTCCTAGCAACTCTAATATT